TGATAAAATTGTGTTTCTAAAATGCCTGGCATATAGGATGCATCAACGAGTTGTGTTTTTCTTGCAGAACTTTGGTCCCCATGAATACAGACTTAAAGTGGCCCTATGCAACTAAGTTCCCTAAAGCCAACACACACACACACACACACACACACACCAGCCAGGATTTGAACTTGGGTCTCCAAATTAACAAATTTTCAGTTTCATCTCATGGGAGAGCCTTCCTAGCCTTACCCAAACCTAGCCAACTCCAAAAGACGGGATCTTCTTCCTATTTCTTGAGGTGGTATTCTATAAATCAAGTCCCAGATTTTTATGTGAATATGCAAGGGGCTTCTGGCAATTCAATAGCAGTCATGAAATCTATTATGTATGGGTCGAAAGTAAATGTTTTACCGTCATTAAGAGGTTCCAGATTAAAAACAGATGGCCTCATCAAGAGAAAAACTGCTACTTCCTCTTCAGCTCCAACACTGCCCAACTGCCTTCCTTCAAAGGGTTTCATTTTCATCTAATAATCTTAATTGGACAAGGCCTTCCCCTAGCTTTGCCAGGAAGCCAATATCTTGGAAGGGAAAAGTTAGCTGAATTTGCTGAGCATGACTAAGCACCAGAAACCGTGCACAGTCTCACCTCCTTTGAGAATGGTTTGAAATAAGTATATTTGACATCACTTTATAAGAAACTAGAGATCAAATAATTCACCCGGAGTCCTCCAAGAGCAAGTGGAAAAGTGACGAGCTGATTTGAAAGTCAAAAGCCAATGACAACTGTGGGGAAAGGAACTTTGCAGTTTTGAGAAAAGTTGTGAAAGTGGAAATAGACAAATCTCATAAGCTCCACTAGAGATCACAGTGAGGCAGTAGAACAAAAAGAAGAGAAGCCTTTTACTAAAACACAGAAAATATTGACCACATTCGACTTTCAACCCAAACCCAAGCCCAGGCTCCATGCCCTGTGCAGTTTCAAATTACTAGAGGGTGGTCTGACACCCAGACTTACTAAATAAAGGAATCCTAAATCTCTACTTGTAACTCCTGCCAATTCTCTCGTTTTTCTGGTGTTTTAAAAAGTTGCCACTTTGGAAGAAGACGGTAGGTGGTGTGTGACTGTTTCACTCTGAATTTGCTAAACTGATTTCTGAAAATCCATAAGAGGGAAGCTAAATTAGTGCCTGGATTGTATTGGCAAAGTGTTTGTTCTTCAATTATGACATGAAGACACTCAAGTGATTACACAATCGGGTGTGTTCTGTCAGGTGACCCAGTTCTATTTTCAGCTACATATATAGAAGCAGCAGCCCTGAGAGAGTGGCCTGGCAGAAGGGAAGCCAGTGTACATGTACAATTCTCATTTCTAAGAAAACACATGACCACAAAGTTCCCACCCAATCTGCTCCAGGACTTAGAATCAATGTTTGGGAAAAGAATTTAGAAAATAGATGTTGGCGGGGGGGGGGGGGGGGG